TGTGGACTTTCTGTCGCTGGCGCGGCACTGGGAGAAGGAGTTCTTCGAGGACATGAAAGCTCTCAACGTCAAGTAAAATAATAATAAATAAATAATAAATAAATTAATTAATTAATTAAAATAATGAACTAATTAATTAAAATAATTAATTAAAATAAAGTAAATTAAATTAAAATAAACAAAAGATAAGTGGGGGCTGGAGTCGCAGACTCAAGAGCACTTTTGCAGGAAAATACTTGACAGCGTACAACACGGCCAGCTAGCTAGCTAGCTAGCCAGCCAGCCAGCTAGCTATCCAGCTAGCCAGCCAGCCAGCTATCCAGCTAGCCAGCGAGCCAGATAGCTGGCTAGCTAGCTAGCTAGCTAGCGAGCTATCCAGCTGACCAGCAATCCAGCCAGCTAGCGAGCGAGCTATCCAGATAGCGAGCTAGCCAGCCAGCTAGCTAGCTAGCTAGCCAGCTATCCAGCTAGCCAGCCAGCCAGCTAGCCAGCTAGCTAGCCAGCCAGCCAGCCAGCCAGCTAGCTACCCAGCTACCCAGCAACCCACCCAGCTATCAACCCAGCCAGCCACACCTCCCCCCACCAACCCCGCTCCCCCAGCCAGCTAGCCAGCTAGCCAGCTAGCCAGCTAGCTAGCTAGCTAGCTAGCTGCCTGCGCGCAGGCTGCCGACGGCGGTGACGAGGGTCTCGGAGTACATTGGCGAAGTGCTGCAGCTGATTGAAGAAATCGAAAAAAATGGATTTGCCTACGAAAGCCAAGGGAGTGTTTACTTCGACTCGCAGCAGTTCAGCAGCAGCAGCAAACACAAGTACGGACGCATGGAGCCCGCCTCCGTCGCCATCCAGGAAAGGTCAAACCCTAAACCCTAAACCCTAAACCCTAAACCAGGGTTTGGGCCTGGGCCTGGGGCTGGCGCTGAGGGGGGAGGCGCGCGGGCGCGCGAGGCGCGGGGCGGAGGCGGCGCGCGCTCCGCGGGGTGCGGGGTGCGGGGTTTAGGGTTTAGGGTTTAGGGTTTAGGGTTTAGGGTTTAGGGTTTGCGGACAGGGTGCTGGAGGGCGAGGGAACCCTCGGAGTGGTTTCTTCAGAAAAGAAAAACCCTTGCGATTTTGCCTTGTGGAAAAAAGCTAAACCCGGAGAACCCTCTTGGGACTCCAAGTGGGGACCCGGAAGACCCGGTAAACCCTAAACCCTAAACCCTAAACCCTAAACCCTATACCCTCTTGGGACCCCAAGTGGGGATCTGGAAAACACGCTAAACCCGAAACCCTAAACCCTAAACCGTAAGACTTTTTGGGACTCGAAGTGTAGACCTGGAAGACACGATAAACCCTAAACCCCAAACCCTAAACCCTAAATCCTAAGCCTTTTTGGGACTCCAAGTGGGGACCGGGAAGACCCGGTAACCCCTAAGCCCTAAACCCTAAACCCTGGATTGATTGAGAAGTGTTTTGCTTTTTTTAATGAAAACAAGTTAAAATAAAATTAAATCAATTGAATGTAATTAGTGGCACTTTTCTCGTTCATTTTATTTTTTGCATTTTGCATTTGTTCCTAAATTCAATTCCAAAGTTAAAATCTATTTTTTGAATTTGATTTTGTATAATTTTATTTAATTTTGTTTAATTCGCTTTAATTGCTTTTTTATTTTGTTCATTTATTTCATTCTGAGTCTTTCTTGTGGACTTCACAAGTTTTACTTTTTTGAATTCTTTTTGCTGTTCCTGCTCCCGTACCTCAACCGCTTATTGCTGCAGCAGCAGCAGCAGGTGCTGCTGCTGCCGCTTCTGCTTTT